AACATTTTTTTCGGTACCGTGACACTTCGTTATAGCGAGGTTTCACTGTAACAAGCGTTCAGCTTCTCTCAGAGCCTGTTCAAAACTCTCTTGAAATTCGAGGAGCGGAAACAGGAAGAATACGCCTGCAATTCAGTTATTGCAATTTATTAGTGATAGAACAAAGTCTCAATGCTCTTACATGTATTCTCCTCTGCTTGTAGTAAGGAAAACTAAATAGACTGTGCGAATAAATGAGAATTAACAAGCTAAAGTTACAATAATACTCTCACACAATGGCATTACGAATTATTAAATGAACCTATCAATTATTATTGCATTAAGTTGTGACTGCAGATTTTGAGTTTTTTGTAGCAGAATGGGCACTTACACATAATCCTCCTCCATTTTCTGTTGTTATTGTGTTATAGTCATCCTTCTGCAGTGTGCCCTGGCAGGGCATGAACAGATTATCAGCTTCTGCAACAGCCTTGTTGAAATTCAGTTTCGCTGTTCATTCTTACAACCTATGTTCTTACAAGTCTTGACACTTATATGCATCTTTTGTTAGTATAATAATTTAAAAATACCAATTCCGGCACGTCTCATTTCATTTTCTGTGCATTTCCCTGGAGCGGAATACCAAAAAGGTCTGCTGAGATTGATTGACCTATAGTGGAATGAAACCGTTTTCACCAGCAAACACTATCATACATCGATTACAAATAAACTGAGGGACTTAGTTTCTGACAACAAATGTTGTCAAAGTAAAACAAAATTACTCAAATATTTGAAAGGGAAAACAACAGTTAAAATATCGGTCTTATAGACTATCGCATTTTGTGAAAATATGCTTGAAAGATTTTAAAGTGATTCAATTTCTTTGTCCATATACTACGCTATTTTGCTGGTCTTAGCATGTTTGCATTTGTGTCAGCATTTTTCTTCCTTTTTGGTTGTGACTTGCTTCTGCAGACCCGACATGGCTCATCGCTGTCTCTCTGTCATTGGTTTTCCCCCATAATTCAAAACTCTAAAATCCTTTGCTCCCATCTTAAGAGCAGCCCTGATACATGCGTAATATTTAATAATTGAAAAGTTTATCAGAACTAAAAGTAACAGTGAATTGGTTAACGTAAATATTTTTAAATTTATAAAAATACTACTAATTTACTTGAAAAACGTTTACTTTAAATTCGAACGCGTTCACTTGCTGTCACTTATATACATGTCATATAGAAAAAGTCCAAGACTTGTTCCATCAAAACTTTGCTTGTGTCTTCCAACCGAATGACCCCTTCTTCCTTTTCTTTCAGAAGAGCACTGTAGAATAACGGACTCACTGCACATAACACGATTCTGTGAGCTATCAAGCGACCTTGATCTTCATAGGATCCAATTTCTAAAATCACATTACACAAATGATCGTTCCTTCGCTGGACGTCAAGGCGTTTGATTATGTGTCTGCAAAACTGTTGC